AAAGAAGAAACTAATAATGATAATGATAACACTAATAAAATGACAACAATAGTAATAAAAGGATTGAAATGTACAAATGATGCGCAGGGCAATTGCTCACCACCTGCCGACCGACACCCAGCCAGTCCCCGAGCAGCGAATCCCTGCCCCCCCTTCCCAGTTCCTAAACTAGATGGGACGTCCCATGGTATGGAATACACTGTTGGCCAGTTTGGGTCAGGTGCCCTGGCTGGGCATGAGAAGCTGAAAAATCCTTGACTCTAGTCTAAACACTACTGAGCAACAACTGAAAACATCAGTGTTATCAACATTCTTCACATACTGAACTCAAAACATAGCACTGTACCAGCTACTAGGAAGACAGTTAACTACATCCCAGCTAAAACCAGGACACTCAGCGAGGCAACTCAGTGAGAAGGACGAGTGTAGCTGGATGAGTGGGGTTTGGTTTGGTTTTGTTTTATTGGATAGCACACCAACCTAAGCTGCTTTCTGCTGCTTGTTTCGATTCTTGTGCTACCTCCCAAGTTGTGCCAGTCTGACTGCTTGTGTCATTGGGTGATGAATAAAGTCTAGGGATAGATTTCAGTTTAAAATAACCCTTTTTTTCCCTCATGCTGCTGAAAAAAGTATTCGTCAAACTGCAGCCTACAGGATTTCTATTGGCCTGGTAAGAAAGGCAAGAGTTAGCTTACCCGTGCAGCCTAGCAAGCTAGTGAAAAGGGAGATGACAGTAAGCATTGCCATGGGGGGGCAAATTCTTTTAAGCACATTTCATGCTGTAAAGATAGACTTGGATTTGTGAGCAATGGGGCTGCTGCTTGGATATTCTCCCTGCGTCCATTGAGAGAGAGCTCATGTATGTTCTTTATAAATAAACCCGATTACATGCAATGAAATACCTGCCTCTTGTCATCCATTTCTCCCCATAATGGGACCAGCCTGGCAGTCCCCCAAACCCTGACGAACCATTCTTGAGGAAAGGGTCACCATCACATTGGTGGGGCTTTGATAATCACCCAGAAACTCAGGTTTTGGGAATGGAGCCATAAGCGTATTCTAGGCTTGCCAGTTCATTTGAAAATAAAATACGTGTATTTGACAGAGCATTGTGATGGGATCTGCTATTTTCCCTGGCCTGAGGAGACCCACAGACTTTTGGCAGGGGTTGTCCTGGCAGAGAACATGAGAATGAAAACAACATTACTGAACCCGTTTGTTTAAATTTCTACTGAAGCTCTACAGTGAAAGACCTAAGAGGATATTTACCAAACTCATGCTGTGAGGATGATATAAATATCTCAACAGTTAGCTTGGTTTAAACGGCACTGAGGCTAGACCCTGGGTATTGCCATCCTGCTAGCTTGCAAATTCCAGATTGTACAGAAGAAGAAAGTTTAACTCTTCCATTTTTGTGTACTGTGGCAAACCCTAAATAGCAATGCAAAAATATTTGCTATTTTAAAAGCAACCATGTGTTCCTAATCTTTTTAAATGTCATTTCTGTTTTGCAATCAGCATTTTGTGTAATATATCTAGTCTATAAAATAGGTGTCACTTTATGACTTGCCAACAAATCTCATGCTTTTACTTCCACTACTCATACATTCTCACTGTAGTTTCTGCTCAGTGCTCATACATAAAGGGCAAGTCACCGAAGTCTTTAAACTGTTGCCTACTCTATAAATCATCTATTTGCCAACAAAATAGAACTCTAAAATAGATTCTTAACTTCAGAATAGCAAACATATTTCAGAATAAAATAAAAAAGGTTTTTGCACTGCTTTTTGCACTAGTACTGGTGACAACTAGGTCACCCATATAAAAATATAGTAGAGTGATAGTGGAAGGCTCAGATACTGATACCTGGTTCATTTCTGACAACTATTGCAAAAAAAGTCTCAACCCTGCAATGCAGGATGCAACAAGGATGCTCACGCTGCAAACTAACAGAGGACAAACAACGAAGCAGGTATACCATTTTCAGGACTGACATTTTCCATCAGCCTCAAGAAATGGATTGATGTAAGAAAAATTGTTCTGCGTGAGACCAAAAGATGCAACACAATCTGATAAATGAACAATTGTGCTTAATAACAAAGTGGCTTTTCAGCTGACAGCTGCTTCACCAGACAATTTAGTTAGGGGCCAGATGGCCAAAAGGACACCTGGTGGAAAGTAATTTAGTAGGATGACTCCACAGAAGGAAAAACTCATAATTCGTATACATTTGAAACATCCAAGATTCAATTAATGGAATTAGTGTGTAATGCCTAGAGCATTTTGCCTGTTCAAAGCTGTGCTCAAGCTTGTTCTCACAGCTCCAGCGCAAGGTGAAGCAGTAGACTACGGCGTGACTGCTGGCTTACAGCTTTGACTCACACGTGGCTAATTGCCTCTCCATCTCCCTTCCTGACAACTGACTTTGTCTATGATATCAGTCTATGCCACTTACTGTTCTGTACCAAGTCATTTCAATGCCTCTCAGCTGGCACTGTGGAGTGGTAGGAAGAGATAAGACCTAAAACACAAGTAGGTGTGGACTTCTGGGAGGTGCAGGAGAGATGAGGTTTACTCTTGTCTTATGGGAAGTTGCCTATAGATTTAGATGGGAGAACAGCATTAGTTTTTATATCTAGCAGAAAAGGCAGCTTCCAAAAACTGAAGTTTTGGGTTTTTTTTAAATAAACTATAATATAATATTTTCAAGTTTCAACTCAAAATCTTTTCTATCAAAAAGTAAATGACTTAGCATTATTAGTTACCACCACTACAAGTTAAACTGTCTTTGGAAAACTCTAACACCATCTTCTGACTGCTCAGGGAAATACAGTGACTAGTTTCTATTTAGACTTCTTAAATCTTCCACAGCTTTAGATATTTTCAGTATCAAGATTTTGAATATTTGGTTGAAGCTTTATTGATTTCAGTCATTGCCTTTGCTAGCTGCTACTGATGTTGCTTTCTACTGATAAAGCAGCTTTTCTTACAGATTTCTGGGAGAGAATTCAGGGCTTTGCTTCCTTTTTAATACCCTTAATACTGTGCTTGAATTCCCACCTGATTCATGGCAGAAGGTTTTGATGACACAATGCACGCTTCAAGTAGCAATGAATTGTCATTGGTTTTCCTCATACTTATTTTTCACTTAGTATCTGTGACTCCTTGCTTCGTCTTTCAGTTTTGACACCTGCATTGCCAGTTAGTAAATCTGCTTTTTTTTTTTCTATTTGAACATAAAGCTTGTTATAAATGAGCTTTGCCAAAAATAAAATTGAGAGCTACAGTCATGCATCCCACTTGCTCTTTGTATTTGGATTTCAGACCCAGTGTTGCAACCAGATGTTTAGTTCTCTGCACTCACCATAAATGACAACTGGTTATTGTTAATGCAATAAGATGAGAAAATTCTTTTAGGCTGGCCAATATCATATTGTACAACACATGCCTTATCCACACAGCTAGAGCAGAAAGCAAATTAATAATTTATTTGATTACTGATAGTCAAACCAGTATGAAATACATTCTTCCTTAATTTCTTTCCTCAACTTCTGATGAAAAAAAAATGTTCAAGGCCATGAACAGAGCTTGGTCTCATCTGTCATGCTCACATCTAACCCCTTCATTTCCCAGAACTGAAGCAGATTTAAGGAGAGCCTCTCTAGGTCCTTAGTTAAACCCTCGGTCATGCAAGCAGCTGTGAGTGTGGAGAAGCCAATGGAGATGTGCAGGTGACCAAAAGGCTACTGATATGCTGCACTCATTAACCGCTTCTCCATGTTTTCTGAGCCAGTGTTTCACAGGGCAGTGGACTATAGGAGAAAAGCCAAATAATGGAAAGTGTGAAGATAAAGGTGACAAAAAGGAGGTAGACTGCTCTCACTGTAGTACCGTACCGCACTTTCCATGACTTGCGCTATCACAAAAATGTGGTGAAATAGAGGGAAGCCAGAACCAGTTATAAACTGCTCCTCAGTATTAATCGCACAGTTTCATGTGTCCCTGCTAGGTCTTCTGGAGGATGGGAAATCAGCTCAGACAGGTGTAACTACAGCATCAGCCACAGCTGGAACGCTGAACACCGAGAAGAGGAACAACTGTGGTCCTCAGTGTGCAAACCCCGTGGTCCCGGGCACAGGAGCTCCGACGCAGAGGCAGAACGGCTGCAGGACAGCAGAGGTAAGAGTATAATTGGGCTCCCTGACACTCAGCACTAGCTTCAGCCAGGTCGAACTTACTTTAGTGACAATATTCCACGCTGCAGTCAAACTGTATTTAATGCCTGGGGATAAGAGAAAATGGCTGCACCGCAGCCATGGCATGATTGAGCCTAGCACCTCTGACAATGCCTCATGCCTGAATGGCCACAAAATTGATGTTTTATCTGGCAATCAGAGTAACATATGCACTTGTTACAGGACCCCCCCCCCCCGCCACTTGCCTTTTTCCAGCTCAGTCCAGCTGTGGCATGTATTGTGCAAACTGTTTAGATTAATTATCTGAAAGGGAATGGATTTTTCCTTAATTGCTGTTTCACTGAAATTACGTGCGCTGCACGAACCCTGGTTCATTCAAGGCTGGATGTGAAGCCTGAAAAAGTCAATGGGAGTCTTTGCAATAAATTCAGCAGGCTTTGGATCAGATCTTCCCCCCATTCTCCCCCTCGCTTGTATGTAGTATACGCTGTAGAAGGATCATCCTGTGTAATGTATGAACACACAAGGCTTTGGGGCTAGACCAAAGCACAAACTTCTCCTGTGCTAGCTGCCTACCTGCCTGTCTCACATATTTCCACCTGTTGTTCTGTTTCTGTAGCAGCTGCTGAGCTGCTGCAGATTAAAGTAATCCAAAACCTATGGTTGGTTTACTGCTTCCTCGATTTCTTAGATGGGAAGACCTCTCAGCACGGCATGTGGTGGAACTGCTACACCCATCCCACAAGAAGCTGTTCCCTCTTGGGAATCATATCCTTGAGAGAGGGAAATTTAAACCCAGGGGGACTGAGCAAATAAAAAAGGGAATTTGGATTCAATTCACCTTGCATTTGCTAACAAATACCACATTGGTACATGCGTGTTTATTTTATGCCTTTGCTATGTTATCTTCTGTGCTGCTATAGTACAGAAACATTCCCCGGTGACATGGATCCTGCTGTATCTTTCCACAAGATACTGCAGCTGCAGATGTATAGGGCCACATTCTACAGCAGCGTGACATCTAGAGCCATGGGTTTGCTGTAAATGAAAAACATAAATGCCTGTCATAGGCCCTAGCCCACAGAGAAAAATGAATTGGTCAGGTTGGATATGGTTGAACAAAACTAACATAATTATTAATCCAATTTGAAAAAGACTTGGCCACACTTAAGAATTATAATGTATGTTGGAGAAAATTGTCTAACTTTTGTAAGTGACTGAAATATTACTTCTGTATTAGACTTACTAGGAAGTATGGGCAAATTCCCACAACATGTTAATAATGTGAGTGTTGACTGTAATGGGACTACTCAGTGAAGTGTGGGTTCGTGAACTGGGGCTCTGTGGCTTTGAATGTATCTTCCTGCGTTTTTCTAGCTAAGATAAATTCAATAATATGTATCTGTACTGTTGCAAGCCAGTGCAAACAAAATTTCTGATGATAAGTAGGGCATTTACGTTATTCTATGCATCTAATGCAGGTGTCTAAGAAAGGAAGGTAAGTTGTCCAGACTTCTTATAGTCAAAAAAGAAATGTATTTTCCTACAGCAAAAGTGTAGTATCTAAGTGAGGCTCCAGCTCTGGTTTGCCATTCTGAATTTCTGTTTCTCCACTGCCTGTTTAGGGAAGTGTAAGATGAGCAGGTTTCCAATTTGGACACCTAAAGTATAGGTGCCTAGAGTTGAGAATGTGACTATCCCCCCAACTCAAAATGTGCCCATTTTATTCATCTGAATATTCACATTGACGACATTTTTTCTTTTAACTCTACGTGCTGTAGAATAGAATGCGATGCAGCACACAGTGCTCTCAGGAGACTTGGGTTCTGCCACCGGTCTGTGGGGTAGTAGGGGGTAAATTGCTTTACCTCGCTGTTTCTCATTTTCTCGGGCATCAAGCTCTAAAGCTTCCTACTGCCTTACCCCTACCATCGGTTATGTGTCAGGGTACAGTTTGTGGTGTTGAAAGGGAAAGGGTTTGACACGGGCTGCATCTGGGAAATTTTAGTATCCTCTCATGAGGGTAATGTTAATACAACTTGGAAGTAAAAGATGCTGATGATGAAAGGATTCCTAATATCAGTGAAGGCAACAGAATGGTTAGGCACCCCAAAAGCAAAGGTGGTATCCAGATTATGTCACTGACTGACAATAACCTGGCTGGATTTTCAGGATATGTGTAGTCTTTGGAGAGTCCTTGTGTGAACAGGAGCATGGGGGGGAGTGGATAGCAAAGGAGCAGGTGTATTCAGGCTGCAGAAATGTGAAGTAATACGCAGCGGCAAATAAACACCAGGGTTTGCTCTCAGGTAAATTTGTACCTTCCACTGATGTCAGTGGAAGTTTACCAGACATTTTTCCACCTGGCATTGTTGCCATATAAATGATGCCTAATTTACCTGGCATTCTTGACACTTACAAATTGTCTCATGAAACATTGGAAATGCAATAATGAAACGCACCTAACTCAGCTGCTCTGTGTCTCTTTCAGCCTGATTCTGAGTGTCCTTTGCTAGACCTATCCAGTTTACTGCGCAGTATAGTGCGTTGCTTATGGCAACAAGCAGACAGACTAGGAGATGGAGAAGAATAAATTTAAATTAGGGATGCACTTGCATGCCTCAGACGGACTGACTTTTTTGAATTTTTGAAATAATCTGATGAAGCTCTGAAGGGTATATTTTGTACTTGGGTCTTATATGCAGGCAGAACTAAGTTATTCTGAAACTATATTTTCACTTAAGAAACATAAAATAAAGTGGAGAAAATTCTGTCTCAGGCTAGTCACACTCAACTCCCAGTGACATCAAAAGGAACCTCTAATTTCCACTTCTGGACTGAAACCAGATTTATTTGCTCTGCTTTTAGAATACACATGTGCAGAGATGATAATTACAGCCAAGAGGGTTGATCCAAAGTCTATGGACATCCACAGCCCTAATAGCAGTTATAAAAGCTTGCATCCATGCTGAATGAGAACATTGCTCCACATCACAGTACTGTGTGAAGAATGCTGGAGGCATTCTGTTTATTAAGTAGAACTGTTTTCATAAATTAGGAGGTAATCATCAATGACTCTTTGTGCTGTCAGTGTGGAACTCACTGTACTGTTTAAAACTTTCACAGAATAAATGGGATGCACAGAAAATGTCCACAAAAGAAGTCACCATTAATGTTACAAAAAACATCAGACAAAGTGACAGAAGGAAAACAAAGAATTGCGTCAATTAACAAAGGAAAACGCAGGTGAGGATGGACCTAAAAATGCTTCGCTGTGCTTTAAATGTCCTCAGTCGCTGAAGATATGAAGATCTCCAGATGTTCCATGTTGAATACAGCAGGCAGCTGCTGCTGAGTGCCTTCAGAAACATGTCTTGTAGAAACCAGCTGCAGACAGTGTAGGATGTTTAGATGTCATTTGTTTAAAGCAGTGGCACTGCGCAGACATATGCCAAAATTTGTACCATTTGGTTTTTACTAAGTCCTATATTATCTCCTTGTGTATGTCCTATTCTGCATTGCTATTAGGATGAGGCCGGATGATGAGGGGTACATTTCTTCTCGATTTAAACCAGGAAATGAACAAATTAATCTGCATTTTCAGTCATAAGGGGTTTCGAGTGTGTACATTCAAACCCACGGAATTCATTTAAAGTGCTCACTTTCATAAAACTCGAACCCAGAGATCTCAGAAAGAGACACATAGGTGGCTTCCATTAAATATCTTTGAAACTATATTTGACAGTTTTATATAGTTCAGTCATATAGTAACCTTTTTACATATTAGCCTTTTAATTACTTAGTTTTAATTTATTTTCTGTATTGACAGAATTTGAATCTTAAAAACAGTAACTCTCATATTGATCAGCCTTACTTGAAGTTCCTAGTCTTAGCTGGAAGGTAGGGTTCTGGCTATTTGGTTATTTTATACATGCCCCTTTAATTATGTTGAGGCCCAGACTGACCTGGAAAAAAATGATCACTAACATTACATGAAAATAACCATGATTCTTAAAACAGTATTCCAATGACAGCTCCAAAAATGAACTTTATTTGATCAGATATAGTTGATTTGCTGTGCAGGGCTTATTTAATTTAATTGTAAACATCCTGTATCATAGTACTCCATGTTTATCATAAATTTACAGCTAAAAGGAATATAAGTGTTCAGCGTAGTAAAGACCAGGAATTAATTCAACATATTGCTTCTTAATATAGAAGTATTAATATATATTCTCTGTGAGTTTGTCCATTTATGAAGATAAAAGAGGTAAATTTATTTGCCTCCCCCATCAGACATATGTGAGTATCCTTAGAGGGCCATTTAAAATAACTAGTCAAAAGGTGTTCATAACAAACAAATGGCATTGGGAACAAAATTATGAACTGTAAGAAGTCCTTTTTACACATAGGCAAATAAGTATAAATAGAATTGTGGGACTGAATCCAAATTTATTCCATGTTAGGATCGTTTTAATAACTTGCTGCTGGGTATGTGAGTATTTAATATGTTCCTTGGAGTACAAGTCTGTGCAATAGGGAATTGTTTATTAATTATTCCAACACAAAGGCAAACTTAAATCCAGAGTTAGTGCAAGATTTTTGCATACAATAGCATACATATAAGAAATATTTATTTTTACATGTCCTAAAAAGGGGCAAAGAACTTGTCCTAAGCTTTCTGCAGGTCAGTGTGTTATCTAGTAAGTGATCTTGTGCTGCACATTTATGTAGAAGAACTAAAGAATATTGAAAATAGTGTTGTACAGGTAAGACAACAGCAGTCTGCATATGTCCTTCCAAGCTGTGGCTCTCTGCCAACTTGCTGGCAACATTATAGGAGAGGAGGGGACTTGACTCACTCTAACAATAAACAGTGGCTGTAGCAGATCAGCAATATTAATTTAGAAATGGATAGCCATTGTTGGTGGCCGTGTACCGACCTAATTGAAAGCACGCGTTCAGGATTCTGCATTATTAGTGTAGAGCAGAAGACGAACCATTTCAGATCTGTGCCAGACTTGTAACCCGCTTCTGTTTCAAAGCATTTACTGAAAGAGAGAGTGCTGTATAAACCCGTATGACACAGGAAAGCTGTAGAAAGTGATTAATGATGCTGGTGTGCGAAAGGGTAGAGGCGATTTTGAAGGCAGGCAAAAGGGAAGGTTCATTGTGTAAGAAACTGTTCCACAGATAGTTGCCTTGGGTGGATACCATGTTAGAGTGAGCAGATGCAAGAACAAAGGAGTCCTGGCAGTGAGATTATTTACTAGCTAAGAGATTATTTTGTAATGATGTGCTGACCAGATGCATCTGATGGCTTGGGTCACGCAACAGAAGCAAGCCTGCAACGCTGCATAGCGCATCAGTATGAGAAACAGTCCTAGCTGTGTGTCCAGCGGTCAGCAGGGAGGCAGCTTTTGAGTCTCGCGTTCAGAGCATGAGATGTGATAAGATGGTTAGCAGGAGATGGCCTTGGTACATAATTATCTGGGCAACACAACTGACCTTGCTTATGTTGACCACATCCACCATCAGGGTGGCAGTTGTGGAGTGGTGAAGGCTGACTGCCCTGGATGACCCCTCTGTCTGCTCATGATAACTTTCCTGAGCTACTTCAAGATCCCATAAACCTGTTTATATCCTGAAAGCTAACTTTAGGGCATTCAAAGACTGGATCCAACTTCTGTGGTACAAATGATGTCTAGTTACAAGCAACTTTATAAAATCTTCTCATGTAACACATTACTGTTCTTATTCATTAGGTGGTAACTGAAAAGAAATTACATTATGTCTTAGGTGGCTTCTTAGTTCTTGATGCATAAGCTTCCAATGACCTTAATAAAACTAAGACCATGTTGTGGAGATGTGGATCGTGCCTCTGTACATAGATATGGTTATATTTATGTTTTCTTTACTTTCCTTCTAGAGACAGCCACCAGTAGAAACAACCAGTTTCTTTATAAAATAATATACCACTCTGTATAATTAAGGGTGACAGAATATAGTCTGTACTGCTTAAGACAATTTAAAGTCCTAAAAATAGATTTGTGTGCTGGTTTTAGTGGAAGAAGCAAGCTCAAAGAATCATCTGGACATCTTCACTCCAGGTGGCCTTCCTAGGCGTGAAGAGTCTTATTTACAGGGTCTGTTCTTCGAGTAGCATCTTTCAAATATAGAGAGCTCAAATAGAGGAAATAAAATAACTGTGTTAGAAGACATAGACTTTTAGGTAAAGGACCTGCGGACATCTCTGTCTTCTTATATGACAGGATTTTTGAAATGTAATTTTCCCCCAAAAGATGTTATGCCACTTAATTTTTTCGATGTCCCTTGGCTGCACACAAGGATTTCTACAGTTACACTGAAACAACACACTTTCTGCTGGAATGATTTGCCAACATGTGGTGAGTTTTTGTGATTTACCTGCGTTCAGGTTTTAAACAGAAACAAACTTATTTTGTCATATTTCTATAATTCCAATACAATGTATAGATAGGATTTTCCTCCAATGTGTATATACATGTAAAATACATTTTCTTCCACTATGTGAGAAATGGAATCACTCAAAAGAAAGTGGACATTGGGTAAAGAAGAGAATTTACAGTTACCCATAGATATCATTAGGCAAATTCATCTTCTCAAAGACTCAGTGCAATCTTATCTTTCAGTATTCCTTCATCTTGTCCCTTATGCTTCCTTAATGTATTTCATCATTTCACCATTACTGTAGGACATGGACTGGAAGACACACAATTTTACTATGTGACAGAAATGATCTTGTACTGAAAAAATAGGAAAGTATAATTATTGTGTAAGCAATATATGAGTACTGGGTTAAACATGCATTCTTGTTAGCTGAATGACTGAGATCGCATACAAAACAGAAAACAGATATTTTTTATCTTCCTATTATGTTCATATACATATATATTCATATGTGCATGTCTCTGCGTGAGTACATTGTAATGTCTTTAGTGTGTACTTCTGTTCTGCAGTTCAGGCATGTTTTTTTGCAAACATTTTACTTGTGTTTTTAATTCTGACACCCAAGTGTAAAATGATCTAATGTTTGAACGGAAATCTGTTTTACACGCCTTATGAAAAGAATGAGCTATATAGTTTGTGCACAGAAATGGTGTTTGAAAAAGCAGGCTTCATTTTATTTGGAAATAATGAATTATCTATCTAAATTCAAACTAGACTAACAGGAGCATTTTTGTACTCTCATTTTATCTGCAAATTATTGAAGATTGACCTTGAACTTGAAGATGAAAATAAAGAAAATTTTTAAAGTGTCTGTTTATTACTCCATGCATTTTACGTTCCTGTGTTTGCGGTTGATGTATCTTTAAGAGCTAAGACCAAAGACTGCGAAGGTATAATGAGTGGTTCCCACCTCCTCTCTTCATGGAATCAGAATATTTCTGTATCTGATGTCCTCAGGCTGTGACTCATGGACTGTGTGGTCACATCAAAGAAGCTAAAATACATATATTCCCCATAAGAAATTGCTGTATTTGCCAAAGAGGGCTTCTGAGGTCAAAATGAGAGGAAATGTAGCTCTGTAATTATAAATGGGAGAGTTTGTGGTTGCTGTCATGACTAAAGTGGAAGACACTGGGAAACTGAGACATTTTCTCTAGTAATATGTCATACTACTGGGGGGAGAGAGGAGACTGAGAACTGAGAGTTATAGAGCCAGCTCTGAGCTGCCTCTACAAATAGCAAATTTGGTACACGCTGAGGTAATCCTTCCCCATTACGCAGCCTCGGGAAGGTCCCTGCTGAAGCTCTCAGCTATTTCTGGCACCTCACTTCAGGAAGGCCGGGAAGAGACCAGCAACGGCAATCGTCAGCCCTGGAGGAGGCCCAGTCCCCCAGGAGGGCCGGAGGAAGGCCGCCCGCTCCGCGCGAGAGAGCGCTGATGGGATCAGGCCTGTGGTCTTCCTTTACACTGACTGGGAAGAAGACAAGAAGAATTGGACTTAAGGGGAAGTTGGAAAGATTCATGCCAGAAAATAAAAAATTTGAGGGTCAGTAAGTATTTGACAGATTGTCTAGGAAAGTTTACAATCACAGTAGACAGATACCTGTTGTGTGGTGTAGGGAGAACTCATTCTTCACTTCATGTGGTGTTCTATCACAACCCACAGAAACTGGGGTTCTACTCAATTTTCTAGAACTTCTTGTTCTCCAAGGAGGTCCCAGTTCAGGCTTCGGGATAGTTA